TTTTCATGTCCTCTATGCTCTAACTACGAAAATATTTGATTTACAAATAAGGAATCCTACTTCGCGGAATTTCATTTATCACGGTAGGGTCTAGAACCAATTAACCGTGATAAACGAGGGTTCACTGTAAAGCCAGAAAGTGACAGCTCTGCCACCAAACAGCCTCCCCGAGGAAGACTTCCGTACCAGAGCGAACAGCTCTGATCCAGATCAAAACCCAAGTCAAACCAGTTGCCAGGGAGTTGGTGCCCACTCCTGGAGGTCCCACATGTGCCCTATGATCAATAGACCTGTCTGTGCTCCCTGGCTTTTCCATGGTCAAGTTTTCAGAAGTAGGTGCCTCCAGGTGGCCTCGAACTTCCAGGTCACCTGTTTTGCCCCCATCAACCTTTCTTTCAGGTTAATGGTGAGTGAGGGTGGTGGCTGCTTTCCCCACCCGGGGACCCCCACCCCCCATCTGATGAAGCCGGGCCACACACAAATCACTGATGACTCTTGGCGGCTACTCTCGCTTATTGCAGATGGGCTAACGCCTCCTGAGCTGACTGTAAACGTTACTGTCGAAACGAAAGGGGAGAGAATAACATTAAAGGTGCCCTATGGTTGCGTACTAAGCTGCTACCTGGAAGGTCATCAGTTCAAACCCACCCAGCAGCTCAGTTCCGTGAGAGCAAAGCCCTGGCCACCTGCTCCCGTGGAGATGACTGCTTAGGAAAACCCATGAGACGGTCCTGTAACATCACAGATGGCCACGGTGGGTCACGTGCCCTGCCGGCACACAGCAGCATTTGTTAAGTGTGTGTGAGGGATGTCAAAAGGGTTTGCAGGAGGGTTCGAGTTCACACGTGCGCTCTCTCGCTCTCTCTCGGTCAGTCCCTCGCTCACTCACCTGCTGCTGTTGAATCGATGCTGACTCATGGCGACTCTTTAGGACAGGGCAGAACTGCCTAATTTTCCAAGACTGCAACTCCTTACGGGAGTAGAGAACCACGTCTTTCTCCCCTTACACGCACAGGTTTGTTCAAACCAACAGTGTTAACACTGGTCCCTGTGATCAGGGGGTGGCTGCAGACAAGTTCCCTCAGTAACACACTTGTCTCGGTCTCATTACTCTCGGCCATCGATGCCAGCTCACAGGGACCATATAGGACAGGATGGCACTGTCCCAGTGGGATTCCGAGACTGTAACTCTTTATAGGAGAAGACAGCCCCGTCTTTCTCCAACCAGTCTCACTAGGGTGCTTGCAAACAAAAGGTCCAATCAAATGAGCGGCTCCACGTGATCTGCTAGGTCAGTTCAATTCAAGCCAGAGAGGTTGAGGTAGTTAGTTGATTGTGCCAACCTGGCCGATAAACACGTGTGGGGTTAATTGAAAGGCAGAGGGATAAAAGATTCCGTGAGCCTCGACTTTCTAGTTCTTGGGTCTCTTGCTTTCTGATGGTCGGGCCAGGGTGCAGCTGTCTTAGCCAGTTCCCTGCTTCAGCTGGCAAAGCTCACTTCCTGCAAAACATCCCCGAGGAGAAGCCACATGGACCTACCCTGATGCAGCCCTGGGTGCTGGAGCAGCCATGTGGAGACCCCTGCCAACACTGAGATGCCTACACGTTCACTGACTCGGCTTTCCTCCTACAGTCGGCGTCATAGTGTGTGTTTTGTGAGATGGAGGAGGACTTTGTGGATTGATGCCGGACATATGGGTTAATGTCGAACTTGTGGGCTTGGGCAGCACTGGGTTGGGATGTTTTCTTGATGTGCACTTACCCTTCATCTAAAACTCTCTCTTATACATGAGATTCTGTGGATTTGTTTCTTTAAAGTACCCAGACTAAGACAGAGGTCAACTCAGAAAGTGATGGTGACTATTTTTTGAGATTCCAAAGGAGGAATCTTGATACAGTTTCTTACATATAGTAGTTCATTACTTAAAATGGTCCTTCCAGTGGTAATAGTCTCCCATTTTGTGAAGTCCTGTAAATGTTATGGGAACTACACACACACAAGCAAGCTCACTGCCAGAGTTGATTCCAACTCACAGTGGCCCAACAGGGCAGGGTAAAGCATCCGCTGGGGGGTTTCCGAGATTGTAACCCTGCCGGAGTAGAAGGTGATTTTGAACTGCTGGCCTTGCAGTTATCAGTCGTACACAACCACGATGCCACCAGGAGCCTCTTTATGGAAACAGACAGCCCCTAGTTCTCCCTCAGAAAAATTGGTGGGTTTGAACCCACCACCAACCTTGTGGTTAGCACCCACAGCACCATTTCTATGGCAGTAATACTTTTGGACTCACCTTTATATTACGTGCCTAACTCCACATACTGGGTACGAATCACCTAATTTTATCAAAAGAGATAATACTCCATTCGATGGCCCCCAAAAACAACCACAAAAGTTCCTACGTTATTCAGTCCTCAACCAAAAACACAACAGCATGGGATAGCTCTCAAATAGTTCTCAACCTTATTCTCAATCCCCACACTTCAAGGGGAAATACCGCACGGGCAAATCAAGAACCCAAATGCAGTCTACAGCACATGGGCAGCACCCAAAACCTAACTCCCTGACCTGGAGTAGATGTCCACCCATAACGACCCTACAGGACAGGGTAGAACTGCCCCTGTGAGTTTGAGACAGTAGCTCTTTATGGGAGTAAAAAGCCCCGTCTTTCTCCCGAGGTTTCGAACTGTTGGCCTGAGGATTAGCAGCCCAACACATGACGCACTACACCACCAGAGCTCTGTGTGCAACCCAGCACTCACCTTTTGTAAGGTCACCGTGTACTGTTCCCAGATCAGCTCGTCCATGCCGTGGGCCTGTTGGAAAACAATCAGAGACGGTGTGTTGAGAACCACAGGCACCCCAAGATCAGAACTACACCTGTCATCTCAAACAGGTCTCCGTGTAAAGTCAATTCACTTTCCAAAAAAGCCCCGAGGACTTGTTAGGCGCCCATGGCAAGCTCCCTGTTTTCCAATTCTCCATACTGACGAAATGGCAGTCTTTGCGATCCTGGGAAAGGCATGAAATACACACGAAGAGACATCACCTGGAAATAATTAAATAGTAAGTGTGGAACTCTCATGATCACCATCCTAAAAACATGTCCCTTGTAAAACCCTTGGTTTAAAAAAAATCTGCATAATTGTCAGTGCCTAATTTTTCTTTTTAAGTTTCTCCCCCACCTTCATCTTAAAGGTGATCGTCATTCTAAGCAAATTTCCTGCATTTTTCTATCTACAGGGCTCCTTGGCCATATCAGACAGTGGCTCCCTAAGCCGGGAATCCTGGAGATTCCTTCAATGCTTCTCCATCATTCCGACTGGATGTCAACGCCGAGTGTGCGCCCATAACTAGACTATTAAGGCTTCCGTTTCTGATCACGCTATGTGTCTAGAGAAACTCTAAAAATAGTGGGTATCGTTTAAAAAATCATAGTCATTCTTTAAATGCAGGCCACCTCTGACTGGAAATCCTTAAAGGTTAGACCTACTCAGAAAGCACCACCCCAGAGAGCTGGGCCATCAGCAGAGCTGGCATTTCAGCAGGAGACTGGGAGAGGAACAACAGTAATTATCCACAGTGGCTGCCAGCTCCGACCAGAGGGGGTCCATGGGGGAAATCTGCCTCACAGATGGAGATGGCTAATCCCATCTTGCTCCAACAGATCAGAAATTTAAAAAAGATTAAAAGGCTCTTGTTTAAAAACCTGCTTCCCTAATGGTTCCTTGGGGTGAACTTCGGGGTCATGGTTTCATGGGACATCTCGGTTTGTTGGCCTGATAAGATGTTGGGTATTTATGTTCTGCCTCCTAGTTTGAAAAGAAGTGGGGGAACCCAACCTCGCTGCCTTCAAGCCAATTATAACTCATAGTGACCCTACAGGGCGGAGTTTAGCACTGACTCGGTCAGTATCGGAGACCTACCTTGTTTATGGGAGCAGAAAGCCTTTCTCCTACACGTGACCTTAGCCAAAAGGCCGAGAATCGATTAAGCCTCACCTTTCTCTGCAGAGCACCAGGTGGTTTAGAACTGCTGACCTTAGCCAAAAGGCGGAGAATCGATTAAGCCTCACCTTTCTCCTGCAGAGCACCAGGTGGTTTAGAACTGCTGACCTTACAGTTAGCAGCCCAACGTGTAACCCACTGCGCCACCAGATGAACCAGGCCTAAGGCCAAGCCCAGTGTATAAAGGGGCTTCCAAAATTTTGGAAAATTCCCCATACTCCCTGCCACCGAGTCGATTCCTACTCAAAATCTGTGTCCTAGGATTCCTTACAGGACACAGAACTGCCCCTGAAGGTTTCTGAGACTGTAACTTTCTCGGAGTAGAAAGCCCCATCTTTCCCCCACGAAGGAGCGGGTGAGTTTGAACTGCTGGCCTGTGGTTAGCAGTCCATCACATAATCACCATGCCACCAGGGCTCCTACCCCCATTTTTATTTCAATCAGACCGTGCTGTTAGTTTGCGCCTATAAACTTCACCAACTCTCTATGAAACTGATCAGGTGGTAAGGGTTAAAGGTTTGTGACAGATACCAATCACTTTAAAATTATACTAAAGACTGTGCTCCATTAAACACAAAGCACATATTTAATTATCAACATAAACATAAAAACAATTGTTTAAAATGTCAATAAACTTAATCTTAGATGTGGGAAAATTACAGTAAAAGTCAACTAGCTCCTTTGAGCATAAAACACTCGTCTTAATTATGTGTGTTTCGCTGATAAGACTGTGTGACCTGTTTTGGCCTGCTGTCTCAGACAAAACCATTCGATCATTAATTCGCTCACTCGAGGAATATTTATTGAGCACACACTATATGTCCAGCATATGGTTTGACACACACTGGTTCTGTGAGTGAACCAAACAGTCAGAGCCCTTATGGAGTTTACCAACCACAGATGTGCCCCCAAAAAGCAGAGAACGGAGCATCTGCCTCATTCAGGTACTTTCTTTTCAGAAATTCACAGTGCCCTGAATAATCACCCTTTTCCTCTGACATCAACCCTGGACACATCTCTGGGGACAGGCTGGCAACACGTACTAGCTTAGCTGAGCGCTCAGTCCAGGTCTTTCAAACTAGGCCACTGGGCTCTGGCCCCACCTGGCCCCACCTGGCCCGCACCCAGCCGTGAGCCATCAAGACAGCATCAATACTGGCAGATCAGAGAATTGCTATTAATATTCGAACTCTGTCTATCTGAATGCCAATCCAAATACATGCTTCACATTTGGGAAGCTTTAGGATCGGGACTATAGGCAAACACGCTGTAATCAGACATACACATCCCACAACGTCGTAGTTCGTCTCCCGAGTGCAGGCCCTAGAGAAAGAAATGAAGTGGGTGTGTGAGGAGACACATCTCAGAGTAGTCAGAGCAACGATGTTCTCAACAGCCCAAGTCTGGACACAACCCCAGCAGCTGTCAAAAGCAGAGTGGACGAGCCGTGTGGTGGTTGATAGGTGACCACAATGCACTGTCACACTACAACGAAAAGACACAAACTACAAACACATCTCAAACGGAATGCTGAGTCATGAACATCCTAAAAGAATCGGCATGATATATCATATTTTGTATGGTTCAAAAGCAAACAAAACTAATCACTTGGTTAAAGGCACATGTGCGCGGATGTTAAAGAGTTCAAGGAAATATTCCACTGTCTTTTCATTCCATTTTCCATGAATCTTTTGGAACCCCCTCATGTAGGATAAATCTATACACACAAATAAGGAAATCAGAAACATAAATTCGGGGGTGGTAGTGGCCTGGGGAGGAAGCAGAGGGTAAGAGCCAGGAAGGGACACAAAGGGTTTTGTGCTGGTTCTTGGTGAAGGTCTACCAGGGTGCTTAAAGGGGTCCTGGGTATTTGTTTATTATTATGCTTCATGATTAAGATATGCAATTCCTTGGTATGTACCCAACATTTCATAGTTCTAAAAACGTAGGAAGCTCCAGTTTATTCCTAAGTGTGAAAAATCAGAAGCAACCAAAACACCCTTCAATAGGAGACAAGATATTTAACAAATTGTGAGACATCCACACAATGGAACATTGTTGAGCGATAAAAAGAAATGAGCTATCCAGCCAGGAAAAGATAGGGAAGACCGTTAAATATACAAGCAAAGTGGGGAACGCCAATCGAAACAAAGAAAAGAAAAACAAAGCTACCATGTGTCTGCTTCTAACATCCAAAGGAAGGTCTCGGTGGATGACATTCTGGAAAAGACAACACTCTAGAGCCGGTGAAACGGACTGGTGGTTGCCGCGTGAACCGGAGAAGGCGGGGAGAGATGAACAGGTGGAGCACAGGGCGTGTTTGGGGCAGAGTACCTGTTCACCCAGAGGATGCACATGCATTTGTCAAAACCATCGACCTATAACTGCAAAGAGTGAGCCCTTAGGCAAATTATAAACGGGAGTTAATATTTGTGGATCAACTTGGTTCATCAGTTGTAACATGCATCACCCAGGAATGCAGGATCTCAAAATAGGAGATACTGTTTGCAGGGTGGGGAGAGTAAGTAGGAACTGGGCACTTTATGCAAAAATTGTCTACCAACCTAAACAAACTGAAAAACAATGGGGCTTTATATTCCCTTGGCAGGGCTACAGGTCTTAGAAACGATAAAGGGTTGCTATGAATCAGCATCAATTGGATGGCAGTTGGGGAAAAAAAATTTTTTAAGGAGGGCAGTTAATGGTAGGTGAGGAAGTGAATAAGGGGTACTTGGTTCCTAGATGAAGGGTCTAATACCCAATATTGTTTAATGAAATGCAGATTTGTGCAGCAAAAAAGAGGAGAAGAATGTGTGCATTTCGACTGGAGAGGTAGGCTAGGCAGGTGGTCAGACCAGGAGTTGACAGGTACATACATAGAAAGCAGGAAGTGGAGGTGCAGGTTCGATCTGAGGGAACAGAAGTCTCCAAGACACCTTACCTTTTCCACCTAAGGTTCCCCATTCCATCCACCCTGCTCCAGTCCCTAACAACATGCCTTTAATCACGTCTTATCACTTCCTCATCACTTTCACGGTTCAGGTAAGTAGTGCTAATGGCAACCGCACACTATGATAACGAGCCATGCCTCGGTGACACAGGAAGTCGAAGGGGAGCCAGATTTCTGCCATCAATTAAAAACCTCTGTGTTCACAGTAAGGTATTTGTGCCGCAAGAGAAGAGAAAGGGACCGAGCAATAGTGATTCCATCAACTGTGTTAAACACACACACACACACACACACACACACACACACACACACACACACACACACCACCTCTCCCTTTCACAATGTTTCTTTCCATTGGAGAGCCTGATGGGACAACATCAGCCACAACAAAACATCCACAATGAAAAGGGAAAAAAACAACAACTCGTAATCTGGAAGCTTGTTATCAAATCAACCTGACGGGAGACACCCTAAGTAGCCGGTGCCCGAAATCTCCCCCAGCAGCAACTTTCAGGCCCCTTGGTCCACAAGCGTCCGCTCCCCCAGGGAGGGTGGCCAGGTTATACCGCAGCGTAGAGCTTTTCATTAACCACCGGCCACAAGGCACCTGCTCGATGAGAACCCCAAGCTACCCAAGTTGACATACACAGCGTGACAGACCTGCCGCAAAGGAAGAGACGTGAAAACGTCCTCCTGTCGTTCACGAGCCCGGAGAGCAGAACAAGTGCACAGCTTTCTGAAGAGGAAAGCAAAAAGTTCGCCATCCCCCCCACCAACCCTACCCCACCCCCCAAAACCAAGAGATTCCCCAAACACACCAGCATCCTCTGGGAGACAGGATTTAAAACCTAAGACCAGGAAGCAAAAACTGAGCAAACTTGAGTTTGCAGAGTCCCTGGGTCCTGAACAGCAGCCCCCGCTGGGACTCACAAATCCCACAGGAGGGAGCTGATCTGTTACATGCCAGTCTGCTAAAAATCAGAACGGTATTTGTTAAATTTAAAAAAATACCCACACCATAGACGACCATCTGCATTGCGCAGCTCAAAGAAGTCCAAGGAGGAGAAAGGAGTCGCTGTGAGAGCTATTTCTCCCCGCCCGCCCCTTCCCACAAAGAAAGGCTTGGGAAAGAAAAGCAGACAGAGCTTGGCAGGGGACTCACACGGCTTTTCAAAATGCCCAACTTTCTAAGAGCCTGGGTCCACAGCCTGTGGAGCACTTTCGAAGTCTTCATGGCCTCTCGGGAGTCATCAGCCAGCTCACTGTCCACCTCCCAGGCTTCTCACCCATTTCTAGCAGCCCACGTGGTTACGTAAGGCGGATACAATAGTGGCCCACATTCCCAGCAACTCCTGTTGTCATCTCGCACTGTGATACATCCATACAGCGGCGGGGACAGGAGCCAAACACTTTGAAAAGCCCTACTTGTGCATAAAAAGGCAGGGAGCCAGGGCTGGTACCACTCCAATGGCTCGCTCCCTCCCCTCCCTGCCCCTCACCACGAAGGAGAAGAGGAGTCCCTATTTCTTGTAGTGGTGTGGAATGTGTCAACACCTAGGTAGCAAGGATGCTACTGCCTGGGATATGTCCGAGCAATGCTGTGGAAAGGGGTACCTCAAAAAGCACTTGTTTCTCTAGAACCTTACATACACACACACACACACACACACACACACACACACTGACTAAATCATCTAGAAACAGTCTGGTGGTGATTCGGGTAAAGTGGACTGCTAACGTTATAAAGAGATGTGAAGAAAACCAGGTTTCCCATCCTTGATAACTGGGGGTCTCTCTGTACAGGAGCTGAAGATAAGCCAGCTGGCCCACTATAAATTGGCTTTGACTCGATGGCAGTGAGTTTGGTTTGACACCGAGCACCAGGGCCAAACTTTGGTGGTGGTTAGTCTAGAAGGTTCTAAAGCACGGTGGCCCACCTGGCTTGGTCCCGCACCATCGGCATGAGCAGTTTCGGATTAGACAATATTACGTTGTGATTCACAGGATTTTCTCTTTTTACATATAATCTATTGATTGCACTGTTGATAATGAACTTAAAATATACACCAATTCAAGTTTTTTATCTGTGAAAAAAAACCATTCTCACCCCTTGTTGCTAGATTGCCTTCCCTCATTAATTTACATACTTTGCTCCCTAAGCAGCTTATCTGAATCTTCTGAGTTGCTGCTAATTTAAGGAGCCCTGGTGATGGTATGGGTTAGGCATGTGGGTTGCTAACTGGAAGGCTGGAAGTTCAGACCCATCTAGCCACTTCATGGGAGAAAGGTGAGGCAGTCTGCTTCAGTAAACATGTACAGGGTCATCCACACCCAATCAAGACATAGTCTCAGAAGCCCAGAGGGGCAGCTCTCCCCTGTCCTACGGGGAAGGGGGTGGGGGGTGGGGCTGGGAGTCGGAATGCACTCAACGATACTGAGTTGGGTTTTGAGTTTGGAGGTCTTTAATCCGCATAGTGTGGGCTGTCGGAAAGGCTGACACCTCAGGAGAGCATGAGCCAAGGACACAGGCCCATGGTTGAATGCATTGGGATTTTCCCCATTATTCTCATCTGTGTCCACTCGGTCACTTTTAAAAGCCACCTTGAATGGGGGGAGTGCGGAGTGGAGACCCAAAGCCCGCTTGTAGGCCACTGGAGATCCCCTGGCAGAGGGGTCTCGGGGAGGAGATGAGCCAGTCAGGGTGCGATGTAGCAACGATGAAAAATACAACTTTCCTCTAGTTCCTAAATGCTTCCCCCCACCCCCCCACCCCGCTCACTATCATGATTCGAATTCTACCTTGCAAGTCTGGCTAGACCAGAGGATGTACACTGGTACAGATAGGAATTGGAAACAGGAAATCCAGGGTGGATGATCCCTTCAGGACCAGTGGTGTGAGTGGCGATACTGGGAGGGTAGAGGGAGAATGGGTTGGAAAGAGGGAACCGATTACAGGATCTACATGTGACTTCCTCCCTGGGGGATGGACAACAGAAAAGTGGGTGAAGGGAGATGTCGGACTGGGCAAGATATGACAAAATAATAATTTATAAGTTATCAAGGGCTCATGAGGGAGGGGGAAAAATGAGGACCTAATGCCGGGGGCTTAAGTGGAGAGGAAATGTTTTGAGAATGATGAGGGCAATGAATGTACAAAAGTGCTTTCCACAAATGATGTATGTATGGATTGTTAAAAGAGTTGTATGAGCCCCTAATAAAATAATTTTTTTTTTAAAAAGCCACCTTGAATCCTTACAAAGACCAAACTCACTTTTGTAGACTCAATTTCCACTCATGGCAACCCTAGAAGACAAGGTACAACTGCCCCGTGGGTTTCCAAGACTGTAACTCTTTACGCGAATAGAAAGCCTCATCTTTCTCCCAAGGAGCAGCTAGTGATTTCAAACTGCTGACCCTGTGCTTAGCAGCCCAATGCATAAATCACTACACCACTGCGGTCCCTCCTTAGAAAGAAGATGGGTGTAAATAAACAGCCAGCCAGCATTAGGGCTACGGCAAACCACAGCCGACCTGCCCCTGGGAAGGGCGATTCTGAGGTCTTGTTGTGGAGAAATTAGTCAACATTCCACTCCCGGGACCCGCCTTTGAGACCTCTGTCCAGTAGACAGGCACTGCTTTATCTCATCCACCTGTGGTTTCTTCACATGAGGTCAACCATTCCTGGTAGTCAGTCGCCAGTAACCTAAAACTATTCCTCTTAGAATTTTTGGCATGCAAACAAAAATGTCTTGTAGTTTACTCCACAGATGCATTTTTCCTTTTAGAGATGGTTAGCGCATACCAGCTCCTTGCCCTCCTTCACAACCCACCAAGCCCCAAAGAGAGCCCTGGTGGTGGCATGGGTGACAAGGACAATGAGAATGAGCATGCCACTTCACAAGGCACACTGCCTAGGTGAGACCCGTTTAGAGGGAAATGGACATAGAACAGAAGCTGAGAGAGGAGTTTCTGGCGGGGCAGGAGCATTAGTAATAGACCTAGGTCCCAAGACCTATTGCTCAAGCACCCCCGCCCACCCCGTATTGCTTCAGGTTAATTTTCAGCATGCATTTAAATAAATAGTAAAGAATTTATAAAGGATGACACACTGTAGTGGTGTATGTAAGGCAACAGAAATGCAAAGAGCAGAGAGCCTACAACTTCAGCAAGTTGGACTTTCGGCCAAGATTCTGCTCTCCACTAGCCACGTGACCATGGGCGCCCACTCAGTCCTGTCCACTGCCACTTGGTACAAGGCAAGGATGTCAACACCCCTTTCACAGGGCTGAGGAGTCCTGGGGGCATAACTCTTTAGCAATAACACGGTGAGAAAAGAACAGAGAGTCAAAGCTGGCTTTACTCCTGACTCTTTCAATAACCAAGGTGTTCTGATAGCCTCCCACACATTGGGCTATTAACCTCAAGGTTGGAAGTTCAACCCCACCAGCAGCTCTAACGGACATACACAAGGTTGTCTGCTCCTGTAAAGATTTTTTTCCCAAAGTTACGTATTTAAATTTTAAAAATCATTTTATTGGGGGCTCGTACAACTCATCACAAACAATACATACATCCATTGTGTCAAGCACATTTGTTGCCATCATCATTCTCAAAACATTTTCTTTCTACTTGAGCCCTTGGTATCAGCTCCTCATTTTTCCCCACCCTCCCTCCCTCATGA